TGACGTGAAGCATATGCAATAACTCGCTCTTCCTGCATCAATACACAACCCAAGCCAATGCGTGAAGCATCACAATACATTGTATACATCCCCGAACCGGAAGGCAACACTAACACTGGTGTTGTAGTCAATGCTGTCTTGAGCTTCTGAAAGCTCGCCTCACAATCATCGGACCATCGAAACGGAGCACCCTTCTGGTTAATTTGGTCAAAGGTACTGCAATAGATGAAAATCCTTCCATGAACCGATGATAATAACCTGCTAAACCCAGAAAACTCATGATCTCAGTCGCCGAAGTGGGACGATACCAATTCTGAACCACCTCAATCTTTTTGGGATCACCCTTAATACCCTCGCCCGATACAATATACCCCAGAAATGCTACAGACTCTTGCCAGAACTCACATTTGGAGAACTTAGCATATAGATTCTGTTCCCACAATGACTGAAGCACCATTCTCATATGCTGCTCGTGCTCCTCCTTACTGCGCGAGTAGATCAAGATGTCATCAATGAAGCCAATGACAAACGAATCAAAATATGGCCTGAACACCTTGTTCATCAAATCCATAAATGTTGTCGGGGCGTTAGTTAAATCAAAAGACATCACCAGAACTCATAATGACCATATCTAGTCCTGAAAGCAGTCTTCGGAACATCCGAATCCCGAATCTTCAACTGATGATACCCCGACCTCAAGTTGATCTTAAAGAGCACCTTAGCACCCTGCAACTGGTCAAATAGATCACCAATACGCGGCAACGCGTACTTGTTCTTAATAGTGACTTTGTTTAATTGACGATAATCAATACACATTCGCATCGTTCCATCCTTCTTCTTCACAAATAACACTGGTGCACCCCAAGGCGATACACTCGGTCTGACGAACCCTTTGGCTAGCAACTCCTCAAGTTGTTCTTTCAATTCTTTCAATTCATTCGGAGCCATGCGATACAGTGGGATAGATATAAGTTGGGTATCTGGAGCCAAATCAATACATAAATCAATATCATGATCAGGTGGCATGCCTGGAAGATCTAAAGGAAATACATTAGAGAACTCTCGAACTACAAGCACTGAATTAATAGTCGGAGTTTCTACAGTAGTATCTCGAACATAGGCTAGATAAGCCAAACAACCCTTCTCAACCATGTGTTAAGCCTTCATAAAAGAAATAACCTGATTACATGCACTAATAGATGAACCCTTTCACCCTAGCCTAGGCAATGCTGGAATAGCCAAGGTAACAGTCTTGGCATGGCAATCTAGGATGGCATGATATGGAGATAACTAGCCCAAGATAATTTCAAAATTGGTCATCTCAAGCAATAGGAGATCTGCTCTTGTTTCATAACCACAGAATATAATAATACAGGACCGGTAGATCCGATTCACAACAACAGAATCGCCCACAGGAATGGACACATAAACGGGAGTACTCAAGGACTCACGGGAAACACCTAGGAAATGAGCAAATAGAGATGACACATAGCAATATGTAGATTCTGGATCAAATAATACGGAGTCATCTTTGCCGCAAACAGAAATAATACATATAATCACGGCATTTGATGCCTCTGCATCTGGTCTGGTCGAAAAAGCATAGAACCGAGCTGGAGCGCCAATTAGCTGGCCTCTCCCTGGCTGACCTCCACCTCTAGGACGGCCCCTACCCACCTGTCCTCCACCTCTTGGTGGTCGGACTACTGGTGGAGCAACTGGTGATGTAATCATAGGCCGTTGACCCTGCTGCATTGGTCTACCCCGAAGCCGGGGGAAGAATCTCTGTATGTGACTGAGATCCCCGCACTCGTAATAACTATTCGGTACAATGGGCTGCTGACTAAGAATCTGGCCCTGGTAACCTGAATACCCACTACAAGAACTCTGAATAGCTCGTGGACGATAAGAACTCTCTAGTATAGCACTGAAATAAGGTCGCATTGGAGCACCCCGAGGAGGTGGTGGTGCTGGATATGGAGGCCTGCTGGACTTCCCTCTCACGAAATGACCTGTACCCCCAGACAGATTCCTCTGAACTCTCCAGAATATCTAAATCGCTTATCTCTCATAACTTTCTCTCGGCTCCGCTGACGCACACCCTCAATCCTCTGGGCTATCTCCACGACTAGCTCATAAGAAGTACCCATCTCAATCTCTCAAGCCATGGTGGCCTGAATGCCAGTATGTAAACCCGTAACAAATATCTGCACTCTCTTTGCCTCAGTAGGGAGTATCATAAGTGCATGGCGAGATAACTCAGAGAACCTCGCCTCATAATCGATCACTGTCATCTGATCCTGCTGGAGCTGCTCAAACTGAAACCGTAACTCTTCCCTCTGGGATGGTGGAATATACCTGGCCAGGAAGATACGGGTGAACTTGTCCCAAATCATGGGAGGAGAATCTGCTGGTCTGCCAAGAAGATAAGACTTCCACCATCTACGGGCTTTGCCCTCTAGCTGAAAAGTAGCAAAGTTAACCCCATGAGACTCCAATATCCTCATGTTGTACGGTCTATCCTTGCACTGATCAATGAAATCCTAGGGATCCTCATGTTGCTCACCCCCAAAGACAGGAGGATGTAGTTTAGTCCATCTGTCCAATAGTTTTTGTGGATCATCGGCTGCAGCAGGCCTGGGCTCAGGTGTAGCTACTGCCACTGGCTGGACTCCACCCACGGGTAGTACATCCTGGGTCTGATATATAGCAGTTGCTTGCCCATGAGCTTGTGCGGTAGGGGTCTGTGATCCCCCGCCCGCCTGAGATGTGGCTGGGTATGCTGGAAATAAACCGGCCTGAGTCATAGTGTCCATGAACCGCAACATACGACCCATGACATCCTGAAATCCCGGTGTGGATGTGAAATCCACCGGAGCTAGTTCTGCCACAGGCACCTCACCTTGTTCCTCAAGAATGGGATTCTCTACTGGACCTACTGGCGGTATAACTGGAACAGTCCTGGGACGTCCTCTCCCCCTACCGCGAGCTGGAGCCCTCCCTCGGCCTCTGCCTTGACCTCTATCAACTGGGGGAGTAGCTCTTACCTGGTCTGGAACCTCATTAATATTTAGTACTACATCAATTGCACGATGGAAGATGAAGAAAGGTAATTTCCTAACACCCTATAGCCTCTCGAACATAAGTACAGACGTCTCCATACCGATCCGCAAGACTCTATTAGGTCTGCTCATAATTTGTGAGACCTACGTGAACCTAGTGCTCTGATGCCATATTGTCGCGACCTAATTTCACCTATAGGTCGTGATGGCGCCCAACACTACAGCTAGGCAAGCAAACTAGTAATTTAAACCCATGTTCAATTATTTAAAAATTAACCAAGTAATTAAACGCTTCTTAATTGCAGGAATTTAAAACAATATGAAACGATTCTAGTAAATTAAAATAATCGAGAAAATAATAAATTTCAAAAATTCTACTAGTGTGTGTGCCAAGACTTGGTGTCACAAGTGTATGAGCATCTAGTAGATTATACAAAAATTATAAAGATTGTCTGAAATGAAATAAACAGAATAACATTTCCAGAAGAGGCACTAGTTGCTGCAGAACGGCTCAAAACGCAGCTCACCACTAAGCCTCTGGATAACGCGGGTGCGCGCCGATAGGTCCAACGATAGCACCTGTCTCAGATCCTGCACAAAAAGTGCAGCAAGTGTAGCATGAGTACGTAAACAATGTGTAACCAGTAAGTATCAAGCCTAATCTCGAAGAGGTAGAGACGAGATGGCCAATTTTAACACTCACTAAGGGTCAATAATAATAATTGAAATAAAACTAGAATACCTAAATCAACATGATTCATAAAGTTAACAATAATTTTATTTAACCAGAAAAAATAATTAAATTCCTTCAAATGCGACAATTTCTAATTTATTAATTAAATTCACAAGCTGCAATAAATAGCAAGGTATCGAGTAATTATTATTATTAGGCACGATTTCTGTCGAGGTCGTATGGCCCGATCCATAGTATCGTGTACACTACCGAGGGACGTGCGACGCGATCCATAGATGCATCTATATTGCCGAGGCGTTCGGCCCGCTCCACGAGAAAGGAGGACATTTTCTTATGTACCTCCGGAAGGAGAGTATATTTATTATAAGATTAATTCGAGAAGATGAATAATTTCTTTTAACAATTAATTAATTTAAGCAGAAAAATTAAGTATATTAGATTTTCATCTTCTACTATATTTCCCTAACAATTCAAAATATATTACAAATAATTTAATTAAATAAAGAATATAATTTCTACATATAATTCATGATTTGAGTCCTAAACTACCCGGACTTTAGCATAAATAGTAGCTACGCACGGACTCTCGTCACCTCGTGCGTACGTAGCCCCCATAATTAGCAACAATTATTAATTTAATTACATATAGGGTAAATTCTCCCTCACAAGATTAGACAAGAGACTTACCTTGTCTCAAGGTCCGCTTTCCGATCAAAATATCGCGTAAAAACCTCAATTTGGTACCGAAATTATCCAAAAGTTATATAAAATAATTAATACATGTTCAATAATTCGAAATTCATCTATTAAATAAATTACCCTATCCAAAATGGTAAAATTTCTAAAATTCGTCTCGAGCCCACGTGCCCGGATTCCGAAAATTTTCGTATGAAAACATTACTCATAATCTCAAGAACTCAAATATATAATTTCTATCCAATTCCATAACCATTTTCGTGGTTAAAATCTTATTTTTATACAGATTTAGGTTTTTCATCTAAACCCTTGATTTTTAAGATTTACCAGTTATAATCAACTCATAATCTATGTATTTAACTCAAGGTGTGTAGAATTAACTTACCTCCAAGTTGTTAGTTGAAATTCCCTCTCAAAAAGCTCTGAAATCGCCCAAACATGGAAGAAAAACGGACAAAAAAATGGACTGAGCTTCGTCCGTTTTAAGGTTCTGTCCAAGCAGGTTTTTCGCGCCTGCGAAGGAGTACCGCACCTGCGGAAAGCCTCGCATGTGCGAGTTTTCAATCGCTGCCAAGCTTCGCATCTCCGCCCATTTTCTCGCACATGTGCGTTCGCAAGTGCACCTAAAGTTCCGCACCTGCGGTGGCAGACCTGCTCCTCAGCTTCGCACTTGCGGCTGCCCATGCGCAAGTGCGATCATACCAGAAGTTGTGGAAGCTTCAGCTCTCCTTCAAAATTCCAAAATTGATCTGAGCCTCGTCCGGTTAACACTGGGGCCCGGGGGGGCCGTCCGAACAAACCAACAGGTTTGAAATCATAAAACGGACTCGCTCGAACTCTCGGAACGTGTAAAACAACATCAAATCTAAGAATCATACCCCCAAAACCAAATTGATTCAACTTAGAAATTTTAAATTCTTCAAACTTACTCCGAACGCGCTGAAATTTACTTATACTACTCGTAATGACACCAAATTTTGTGTGCAAATCTTAAATCACTATACAGAGCTATTCCAAGACTCGAAATTCCAAACGGACTTCAATTTCTCCAAAACTTACCCCAAATCAAATTTCAAGAACCTTAAGCCTTAATTAGCTAGGTTCACTATTAAGCGCCAAAAATGCTCTTGGGTTATCCAAAATCCGATTCGAACATACACCCAAGTCCGAAATCATCATACGAACATATTGGAATCGTCAAATCCCGATTTCGGGGTCGTTTTTTAAAAATGTTGACTGAAGTCAAACTTGACTTTTTAAAGCCAAACTAAGGAACCAATTGTTCTGATTTCAACCTGATCACTTCCAAATTCTGAACCAACCATCCCCGCAAGTCATAAATTATTAAAAGCACATTCGAAAAGTTTTATTTAGGGGAACAGGGTTCTAAAAGTCAAAATGACCGGTTGGGTCATTACACGAAGCTTACTAAGAAATGCTAGTTGAACTTGCGGAAGAATCTACTTCGCCCGGAAGCGGTGATGACCAAGCTTCTTTTCCAGCACCACCAACGGAAATTCCTCTGGACTTTAATGGATTTATGAAGTTTGTAAGAGACACCATGTAACTTGTATGAACAAAAATTAGTATGTATTATGTAACTTGTATTTTGGCACATCTTGATTAGTTTTTTTTTCTTCTCAATGGTGGTATTAGCACCTTGTTGTGCTCATTCCATAGAGGGGGAGGAAGACTAAGAAAGATATTATCATGTTTTTTTAATGCTATAATAAAATTATAACGCATTGCTTTGAATATCTCTTTACAATATTTTTGTTTTTAAATTTGAATTAAAAAATTTAGGTCATAATTCTATAATAAAATTTAGGCAAAATGCCTTAACACCCCCCTAAACTTGACACGAATTATTAGTTACAACCTTAAACTATTCGTGGCCTTAATTACCACCCTCAACTTGGCCCTTTGAGAGTCATTACCCCCCTGGACGCTGATGTGGCAAAGAATGTGGGTGCACTTGCCTGCCACATGGAATTTTCTGTATATGTGGCATTTTTTTTTTAAATAAAATATATTTTTACCTTTTTAAGTATGTTACTTTTTTGGATAATTTTTTTCAAATATAATTTATAATAAAACTTGGATAGAACTACATTATTTAGGCTAATTATTTTTATTTGGCTAAAAATAATAAAGTCTCAGTTAATTATTTTTTGAATTTAACCTAAAAATAAAGATTTATATAATTGAAATAAATAGTCAAGGCATCTAAAAAGTTATAAAAAAAATACACATGACTTTTCGTTTCTTCTGACATCAGGCACTTCGAATTGGATTATGAAAACTCCGGTTCAATTTTTCGGTTATGAAATACCAAACCAAATAATCTCAGTTTGGTTTGTTTCTTAGAGATTTCAGATTAATTGGTTTAGTTATTTTGAAATTGTTTTTTAAACCTATGAACATCTTCTGACAAGAAATAATAGACCTCTAAATAAAGTATTTATGTCAAATTGCCTAATTACCTCATTCCCATTATATTCATCTGAAAATTTGATAATTGTAAGTACAAATGTAAATCCTTGATATGACAAAAGGATTACAAGAAGAAAAAATTTTAAAAAAAAGTATGAGATAACTATCATGAGTATATGTTATAAATAGTGAATTGAAATAAATAGTCAAGGCATCTAAAAAGTTATAAAAAAAATACACATGACTATTTATTTCAATTGTATAAATCTTTATTTTCAGATCAAATTCAAAAAAAGATTAACTAAGATTTTATTATTTTTAGCCAAATAAAAATATTTAGCCTAAATAATGTAGTTTTATCCAAGTTTTATAATAAATTGTATTCGAAAAAAATTATCCAAAAAAGTAACATACTTAAAAAGGTAAAAATATATTTTATTTAAAAAAAATACCATATATACAGAAAAATCCACGTGGCAGGCGAGTGCACCCACACTCTTTGCCACGCCAACGTCAAGGGGGTAATGGCTCTCAAAAGGCCAAGTTGAGGGGGTAATTAAGACCACGAATAGTTTAAGGTTGTAACTTATAATCCGTGTCAAGTTTAGGGGGGTATTAAGGTATTTTGCCTAAATTTTACAAGGAATTGCCTTAGATATTTTTATTAGCATCTTTTTTTCTCTAATTTCTATAAAATTTCAAAAAAAATAAAATGTTGGACCCACTTGGGCCCACTTAGCTAGCGGGCCGGGACCGTTTAGTCCGGGACCATTAGTTCGTGGGCCCGGTCTCGGACCAGTTCCTACAAAAAGATCACCATGACCGGGACTGTGAGGCCCATTTAAATTGGAACCGAGAGCGCTTGGACCGGTCCACTTAGCCCACTTAGGCCCGGGACCGGCCCACATGCCACCCTTAGATTGAGGGAACGTGAGTTTGCTTGTGTTTATCTTTTGTCGACAGAGAGGAACATGTGCCTCTTTCAAGGGAAGAGTAAACCCAAGAGGTACTACTTCTGGTCCATTTAAATTGATTTTTTAGTTTTTTTTCGTAATCTGTAATATTTGATATTTTCAAATATCAAGAAGTAATTAACTTTTTTTTCCAAAGTTATCTTTGGATTAAAGATTTTAGTAGTATTTGTTGTATTTTCAATAAATGAATTAAAATTAGTATGGTCAATTTCATTGTTAATAAATATTAAAAGGTGAATTCCTTTATATATATGTAAAAACAGCCAAAAATAACAATTAAAATGGATCGTAGGGAGTTATGTGTAGAGGCCATGAGAAGTAAGCTAGAAAAGAAGTTAGAGGCTCTTAATTTCTATCATTAGGCAGATTGTGTAGTCAAAGTTGTGTATTAGCCTGTTTGGCCAAGCTTTTAAAAGAAAAAAAGTATTTTTGAGTAGAAGCAGAAGCAGTTTTGGAGAAATAGAAAAAAAAATAGCTTCTTATGAGAACACTTTTAAGAATAATACACTTAGAAACACTTTTTAAAAGCTTGGTCAAACACAAATTGTTGCTTAGAAGTACTTTTCAAATTAATTGGCCAAACACAAATTGCAGTTTAGAAATATTTTTCAAATTAATTAGTCAAACACCAACTGTTTTTCACCAAAAGTAATTTTAAAAAAAACACTTTTGAAAAAAAATATTTTTCAAAATATACTGATTTTTTCAGTTTGGCCAAATAAGATATATACCTAGGAAGTTGAAATTGGGGGCTTTTCTAACCTCTGCTTAGGCATCTCAAGATTTTATTTAGAGGGATCGTGGCCCATAAATGGTACAATATAGAAACAGAGAAGGAGGATCTCTGTCAATAGTCCTTCATTTGAGAACATTATGTTTGCAGAAAATTTGGAAGGACTAATTATGATCTTCTTTTTGCTGTTTGGCATTCTGATACTATATGTATAAAATTTTGGAATATGAAAAGGAATAAGGAGTGGTTGTCTAGAGAAAGTTCCTTGGTTTGAAGTACTAGGATAAGAGTACATTCTTTTTAAATGTGATGTTATCGTTATCATTTTATTAATGAGCTGCAGCCTGCAAATCAGTTAAGTAAGTATTACTTTAGTTAAACAAAATAAATAATACATGAACATAAAAACCAAGAGCATACACACAATATTGAGATTTACTCATATGAAACTATCAAACATAAGTTTCAATATTTACCCCATGAAAATTGATGTGCAAGACCAAGAAGGAATCTTTCTCTTTCTCTGCCTTTTAGAGGATGTATTAGGAAAAATAATACTATATGTATTAGTTTTTGTATTATTAACCCTTTGTTTGATAGTATTTTTTTCAACATATCTGTAATTAATCTTATTCTCTCGAAATATGTACAATAGTGGATTTGTTAACCTCCAACAAAAATATTTGCAATCTTCAATAATGACAGCGAGTAGGCAGTCCATCTCTACTTTTAATTCTTTATATGCCCCCATTTCTGCACTTACCCTTATAATTGAAAAGTATTAAACTAAAGTTTAAAAATGAACTAGCTAAATCAACTCCACAACTTCTAAGCATGTGTAGAAAACCATTGCATTGACTTTTCGGTTGCATATTAAATTGCATTTGAGGAATCAAACTAAAATCCAACAACTAAACAAAATAAAGAATGTCAAAGGAAACGTTCTCGGCAAGCTTAAAGTTTGCAGAAAACCAGCTTTTATAAAAATGACCATTGCAATTCCAAATGTTTCAAACCAAGATACTTTCTCTAGACAAACACTCCTTATTCCTCTTCATATTCCAAATTTCTATACATAGTATCAGAATGCAAAAAAGCAAAAAGAATATCATAATTAGTCCTTCCAAATTTTCTGCAAATATAGTTTTCTCAAATGAAGAACTATTGACAGAAATCCTCCTACATCTGCCTGTAAAATCACTCGTCCAATGCAAATGCATATCGAAAAAATGGCATTCTTTAATCTCTAGTCCTCACTTCACACGCCTCAGAATTCCCCGTTTCAGCTCTGCTCGTGGCATTTTCTTGTACCATTCTTCATTTTTAACCAACCCTTTTCACAAATTTGTGTCTTTTAACTTAGAAAATCCAATTCCAGCACCATTCCTAAAGTTCCCTTTTCTACAACATGACTCTCCTAAAATCTTTATTATGCAGTCTTGCAATGGACTTTTGCTTTGCTCTACCAAACATAATCGATTCACATTTAATGAGGATTACTATATATTCAACCCGACTACTCAACAATTCATCACACTTCCTAGACCAGGAGGAGATGTTATAGGGATGAGTTTAGCCTTTGATCCGTGGAAATCGCCTCATTACAAAGTCATCTGTCTCCGAATATCTGAACTGGAACCTGAGAACCAGATTGAGATTTACTCATCTGAAACTAAGAAATGGAGAGTTTCTGGTCCATCTTTCCCTAAACGTTACGATATAAGTTTCAGACATGGACTAGTTTACTGGAATGGAGCCATTTATGTGTCATGTAACAAACGTTTCAATTTGGAACAAGAGAAGTTTGAAGAATTTCCTATGCCTAATTGCTTTGATGGACAAGAGTGGGATAAAGAGGATCATAGGATTGTCTATTTTGGAGAGTCTTATGGCCATTTGCACTTAATACAAGTGAGTCACCAGAAACTAACTTTGTACAATATTTACGAGATGAAAAATGATGGTACTGAGTGGTTCTTGAAATACGAAGTGAATGTTGAAGATGTTGTGTTAGCATATCCTAGGATAATTCGACGTTACCTTGAGCCAACAGATTTTCATTACTATGCCATGGCTGTGGTTAATGTTGTAAGAGGAGAGAAAGAGGAGGATACTTTCTTGGTTTTGCATATTCCTGAAATGGCCATTCTACGTTACAATTTGGCAGATAAGTTATTCCATATGCTCTGTGATTTTGATAGTGGCCAAGATAATGGTATTCTTGAGGAATTTGATGAAGAACTTGCTGTGTGTCTTCATTTTCATAGCTCAAGCACTTACCAATATATTGAATCTACCTATTATTGGTAAGTCCAATTATCCTTCCCCGAACCTCGTGCTTAGCAGGAGCTTAGTGCACCGAGCTGCCTTTTTATGTTATCATAACCAATCAATTATATGGTCAAAACAAAGAGAGGTAATTTGCAGTGGATTAATGTTCTTGTCCGGACTGAGATGTATTAAGTATATACCCTCACTTGTCGCACTAGTACTATACGTTCTTTACATGTTGTGTCTTTTGCTTTTGTTACTCTATTATATTGTTGTTACTATTGTTTGTTGCTTTATTTATTTTTTTGATGAAGTGTTCCATTAAAAAAGCATCAAGATTGTTAATCTATTATATTGTTGTTACTAATGTTTGTTGCTTTATTTATTTTTTTTGACGAAGTAAGGTGTTCCATTAAAAAAGCATCAAGATTGTTAATCTATTATATTGTTGTTACTAATGTTTGTTGCTTTATTTATTTTTTTTGACGAAGTAAGGTGTTCCATTAAAAAAGCATCAAGAAGATGCATAGTTACAGGAGGCCTAGTTACAAAGGCAAAAACAAAAACAAGAAACTAGGCCCTATATAAAGTGTCAATCTAGGACGAGTACTAGATTTATTTTCACTACTCCTAGAGCTATGTAGGAAAAGTCACTCTAACCAGGTACGGACAAAATCTGCGTATACATTACCCTTTCAAAACCCCACTTATAGGAATACACTAGGTTTGTTATTATTGAAATGTATTATGTAACACAGAATATGAAACTGTCATTGAATAATATTTAACAAAAATGGAATTGAGTTTTTGATTAAATGAGCTAGTACTTCTAGAATCCATTTAAAATCTCAAATTTTCATTCGACATGAGATCATTCTTTCTTCCAAGTATTAGACAATTTTAACATTCGACCGCCGTTATAAAAAAGACATGATTTGGTATAAGATCCAACTTATATATTTTTTTGAAAGAAGAAAAGCTTACATTCCTTGTATTTGGATAATTTAAGGATACTAGTACTAATCAAAGGAAATTGAGAATACCCAAATAAACCAAATTTGGCATCCTACCATCAAAATTCTGTTAACACCATATAAGGGCTCACAATAAAGTCAAAGCGGACAAGAGAAACAGCAGTGCAATATCTAAAATTGATCAAAACTTTAGACTTCGACAGGACAAGAAATGATAAAGAAACAAGTTCTTAAAATTTTCCAGTACCTAATCACAATCTAAGGAAAAAACATCAAGCCTTCCATCTTCAAAGATCTTGCACGCTCAAACCTACAAATCAAAACGTATTCAAACCATTAGATTCATGTACTTCACTAAACTACGCAAACTCAGTAACAATAGAGCAGATAAACTTACCAAATGGAAGAAGGTAACTAAAATGTAAGCACTGAGATAAATAAGTATATACCTGGGGGAAGTGACTGCTTCAACTTGTCGGCCTTCTCAAAGTCGGACACACAGAGTGTGTAGAGGTACTTGGAGCAACGAACCTTGAACTTGACCATATCCTTGTTCTTCTTTATCTTGACGGATCGTGCATCCTTCCTCCTTGCTGTGAGAAGGAAATCCTTGATTTCGTGGATTTGCTTCGGCTGAAAAAAATTATTCAGTTAAAACATTCACTCTCTAATACAAGGATTAAAAAAATGCACAAAGTAGTCTTAAACAAGTTCCGATACAGATTCTCAACAAATTAACTGGTAATGAAATGTTTGCCTGTCTAACAAGTAGGAACTAATCTATAAGAACGGTTCAGTTAAACATTCTCTCTCACGCAACGATATAAAAAATGCACCAATTACTCCTAAGCAAGTTAGGATACACAATCTCAACAAATCAAATGGTAATGACATGTTTGTCTGCCTAATGAGTAAGAACTAATGTATCTCGGACAACAACAACAATTACAACGACTTAATCATAAACAAGTTGGGGTCAGCTATATGACCCCTCACTGATCCTGTTACTCTATAATGAAACTCATCTCGAGCCAATATTATATGCAAATACAAAGAAAAAGTTCTACAAGTTATCTATATCTTCTAAAAGTATAAATCTCTGTTAAAAGCACTCCTACCTACTTTCAAAGTGCTAACATGTCTAAAACATATTCTCAAATAATCTATCTAGGACAAGGCGAAAAGAAAACATGATTTCTCATTTATCTAATTATAGGCTGTAACAGAACAAGAAAAAGCACATATAACCATTGCATTATACTTCTAATATCCAAAAACCTTAACACAACAAAATCAATTAATTACTAACAGCTAAAATCTCCAACACAAGCCCTGATATAACCATTACATTATACTTATATATATCCAAAAACCTTAACACAAAATCACTTAACTACCATTAACCCACAAATAAACTACCAATCTAAATTAATTAAATATTTATATATAATAATTAACAATACCCAACTCCAAAGATCCATTTTCTACCCCATAAAAACCACCCCTTTCTACTAATATAATCAAGAATCCCTAGCAAATGTACACATAACAAGAAAAGTTAAAACAAAAAATAAGAGTAACTATTACCATGATTGGGTCTTCGGGTTAGGGTTTGTTGTTGCTGTGCTGCTGCCAAAGACGAGAGAAAGAAAGAAGCAGTAATGTATAAATGGGGTTACTAATAAAACCCTAAGTTGTTAATTTCCAATTTTATCCCTAGCCCGGAACCGATACCGGGACCGGGCCAGCCCACTAAGAGCCCGACAGGCCCGGCACATTAACCCACCAAATTTTCTCTTTTTAGGCCTACTAGCCGTTGGGCAACGGCCCAAAACGGTTATATTTTATTTTACCATTTACTTTTGAAATATTTCATTTTAGCTCCAAATTCCAACTATAAATACCTTTAACTCTATATTTTTCCTCACAACAATCTCTCATTCTCTCTAAATTCTCTTTTCTGTCTCATAAACTGTTGCTGTTAAGACTCAACAATATTCAGAGCTGTCGATTAATATTTCTCTCGTCTCACAACCAAACTTTTCAATTATTTTTCGGTGTTTGAAGTTAGCGTGAGCGAGCTTTAACAATTTATGGTTATATTTCTTTCTGTTTTGGTACATTCGTTCCAACTATTACTTTACTACTTTTGTATTTAACTCTCATATTTGTTTCTTTATCTTTGAATTTTTAGTTTTTGTTATTTTATTTGGGTTATGGCTTCAAATAAACGTATGTTTGGTAAGGAAAAGGGTAAGAATAAAGGTAAAACACCAGTTAGTAGTAGTAGTTCTGTTAATCAACAATCTTCTCATAATTCTGAAGATGATTCTTCACAATATAATAATGAAACATATTCACAATGGAAAATGCAATTTGAGGCTACCGGTAGAAAACAAATAATTAACCCATTTGAAAAATTATTTAATTACGGTAAGAAGAAAGAAATAACAAAATCGATAGCTAGTGACTGTTTACCTTTTAACTTTACTTTTTCTAAAGGTTTTATTACTTATATTAATGGAGTAGATAATAATTCTTGCTTTACTGGTATTCCTAGAGCTACCTGTAGAAACGATGTTCTGAAATTTTATAGAGAATATCAACAGTATTTACGCTCTTTATTTTCGAAACTTAATTGTAGAGTTTCTCTTACATTTGATATTAGTCGTGATGTTCACCACTTAGATTATTTAACAATAATATGTTATTGGATAAATTCTGATTGGGTAATGCAAAAACGTATTATAGCTTATCACTATATTGAAGATAAACACAATTATCCTTCTATTTGTGCAACTATTCGGGATATTTTAACGTACTATGGTCTTAATAATAAAATTATGTGTATTTCGTTTAATAATAACGCTTCAAACATTATCGATATTATTTCAACTTTAAAAATACAATGTGTACCTCTTTTAAATGATAATTTTCATGTTAGATGCGTATGTGATATTTTTAATTTAATTGTACGTGATAGCCTTAATTTTTTTGATTCTTATATTACCAAAATTAGAGGAGCGATTGCATTTATTTTTCGAAGTAATTCAACAACTAGAATTAGGGAATTTAGGAGAAAGTGTATAGAAAATAACCTTAGACCAAGAACAATACCTGTAGAAATTGTCACGATGTGAGATTCTTTATATATCATGTTAAATATTGCATATAAATATAGAGAGCCTATATCTGCTACATATAATAAATATATTGAAAATTCTGCTAATTTTTTAATTGATTTAGATTGGGAGGTTGTTAAAGATATTGTTAGATTATTATCAAAACTTTATCAAGCTACTCTAAAATTTTGTGGCAGTTGTTGTCCTAGTGTTGATAATATTTTACTTTATATAGCTGATATTGCTTATTTACTCTTTAAATTTAAGGATAATGAAACTTATAGAGACGTTATTATTGCGATGAAGGAAAAAATTAAAACATATATATTTCCTATTCTACCTATTTTTCAAATTGGTGGTGTATTAAATCCCTGTATAAAATTACATTATGCGGAAGAATTAACAAGAGTATTATATGAACATTTAGAAATTGCTGAGGGAGAAAAACCAGATTTGGAAACTGCTAAATCTAGTATATTTTCAAACGTTTCTGCATTATATGATTATTATCATAAATTAATATATAGTGCTAAACCAAATATTTCTACCTCTAATTCTACCAACTCTTCTGAAAAAATGGGTGGTACAGCAAGCTTTAGTAGTAGTACTCTTTGGGATGAAATTGCCGCTGTACAACGTCAATCTCGAATCGATTTTAATGAGCTTAATTTTTATTTGAAGCTGGGCACGGAAGATCGATATTCTAACATTGACATTTTGCGATGGTGGAAGGATAACTCAAAAGAATTTCCCGTTCTTTCCAAAATGGCTCGGGATGTGCTAAGTGTTCCAGTTTCAACTATAGCATCAGAAGGCGCTTTTAGTCAAGAAAGCATGCAAATCAAAGACAACAACCATTCATTGATTGGGCCGATATTGGAAATGCTAGTATGTTTTAAAGATTGGGTTAGATCAGATAGAAAAAATCAAGGGGCAGAAGAAAAGCAATCAGAGGACAAAGAACTTGAAGATGTCATGACAATGCCGTCTGATGACGAAAGTGATAATCAAGATAATCAGATAATCAATCACCAGATGACTAATTTTATTAGAATCTTTTGATCGTATCTATTGTACTTAGAAGTTTTTTTCTTTTCTTTTCTTTTTTTTAAAAAAAAAAAAGATACTTCATGAAAGTAAAATTAAGTCCATTGTCAAGACTAGAATCCAAAATATCTCGTTAAGAGTGAATAGATCTCAATTATCTTATCGCACTCCAACGTGGTTTGTGTACTGAAACTAATAGTATGTTTGGCCAATCTTCTCTAATCCTAGAGCACTTTTTTTCCAAAGTTGGAAGTGTTTGGTCAAGCTTTTGAAAGAAAAAGAAGCAGAAGCAATTTTGAAGAAGCATAAAAAATTAGCTTCTTTCCAAAAACACTTCTGAAAAAAATATATTTAATAGCAGTTTTTAAAAGCTTGGCCAAATACTAATTGATGCTCAGAAGTGTTTTTCAAATTAATTAGCCAAACACAAACTACTTCTAGCCAAAAATACTTCTGAGAAAAATACTTTTGAAAAACAACACTTGTCAAAATAAACTGATTTTGTAGCTTGGACAAATAGGCTATAAGTCACACACACACACACACATATATATATATATTTGGGAGGACGGAAACTTGAATTCCCAACTCTTACAATTTGCAAGTAACCAAGGTATTATGAGCATAAAGTCAGATATCCACTGAAGTAAACCTCTTAGTTTAAATAAGAAATCTGAAAACCACTAGGTGGTGAGTTGATGTACAAAACTGCATTTTAAAATGAGCAAGAAGTTGATCAAACTACCTTTCTAGCAAAAGAGTACAAGTGACTACGACTTAAAAAATACAAATGTGTCGGCTAGTATTAGAAGCATTTTCGATGAACAACAGAAGGTCCACTCTCGTCGTAATCTGCCTTAGTTATGTGCTGGTTTTGAGGGAAGACAACTTTGGCAAGTATAGCACCACCGATCCATGCTGAATATGAAGTCAAGTTCTCTGGCATATATTCTGGAGCCTGTAAGAATATCAGAAAATAAAGGAAACTTTAGTAACTACAAGCAAAAGTGACGAGCAAGAGATGCGATATGAATGGAGGATATCCTGCCATTACATATCAAACAAAACAAACAACTAATCCTTCCAATGATCTGCTCCCCGGTTTTTAACTATCGTGAGTAAGGTGGTAGGTCTTCGTTCATGAACGAGCACTTATTAATTAGAGAAGCAAAGTGGTAGCTCCTGATTCAGAAACCTGGAGTTTCCGCACCTGGAGTTTCCGCAATGACTTGGGCTGACAATCTTATGTTTGCCATAATGGGCTGCTTTTATGATGGAAACATAAAAGCGGTAATGGTTTATGGACATGGAGAACGAACAAGCATATACAGCTTGAAGCATTTGATCACTGCCAAGAAGTGAAAAGAATGTTAAGTTGTCTATCAAAGATTAACAATAAGATACCTTTACTAGCGAAGGACGAACTGCTGATGAGCAAAGTGTAGCTTCTCTTTGGAACCGGTCCTCAAACCCTACAATCACAAGAACACAAAGGTTAGCAGCTATAACAGTTTCCTGCAATATAAGGAAAAACAGTAGAGCTTCAATCAGTGAAAGCTTCTTTACTCCTAATGGATTCAAGGAATGAGCAACTATCACGTGGTCCAAGCATAATACAAGTTTAAATGAGATGTATTACACTACTACTTCATCTAAGGAACAACACAGTCTAGACTGTACAAATGGCCAGTGCAAACTTCAAAAGGAAGGAGGCAGTTCAGGCATATCCAATCCATCTGTGCCAATCGACTGACTGAGGGTCTTTGAGTCCATTCCCTTCTTCACCTTACACTCATCACACAATCAAAAAGATAAGAGAAATGTCTAATCACACCATTGAGATTTGAGACACCATTATATGAACTTTTTAACTTCATTTGCAATATATGTTAGCCTATGTAGTGAGGGGGAGGAGGAACAAATTCTCTTCAATGTCATACTCGTAACTCCATACCGATCTACCTGCCTACCTCATGTTACCATTATTGTTGTTGTTATTATTGTTCTTGTTGTTATTGATAAAAACATAACTACAAAAGAAATCTATGCTGTTTATTATTTTGTCAATACCAACTCTTTTTAATTTTTTAACTACTATGGTGTCTAGACAACCTGGTGCACTCCTCGACTGATCCAACAAGCAGTCTTTCACAGACCAAAAGCACGAGTGTTGATGCAAACATACCCACCAATGCTGAAGCAGATAGATTCACACTGAGTGTTGGAGCCGGGATCTGAATCGGAGAAATGGCCCTCTGATCAATAGCATACTCATCAGCATTTGAATATATTTTGTTTGTCATCACTGTGCTGGCATCCATCGAGAATATTACAGGAGTAGACATAACTTCCAACTTGGGAGAAAGGGAAGGGAGATGTTGAGATTGCCTTTATGTTTCACTCTGTGTTTGTCAAACAGTTGCTGTAGCCTTCAAGCATATGAAGCACTAGCCAATTCTATGATGGAAAAGATCGAGGACATTCTCCTAAGAAGAAGATATTTTGTGGAAAACAATTATTGCTTCTGACTGCTACTTATGGTCCAATAGATATGTTATAGAAAAATTCTCTGACAAAATTGACATAGCTAGCTGCTTAGGCAATTGGTGGAAAATTACTTAATCTCAAATATATACAGTAAATAAATATTGCAGGCTTGCCAAAAATTTATTCCAATAACGGAACATAAAAAAGGAATATTACTCTTCACGGTCGCATTAATTCTAACGAGAAAAGGACTGACTGTCATACAACCAGCATTTCAAACATCCAATAAAATTGAACTACTTGAGATAAAACCAACAAACATGCGAAGCCGGTATCAATGAAGAATGCCTTTATAACAAAAACCAACAAAACGAGGAAAAACTAAAAAAAATTAGCAACAAAACAGAAATGCCGAAATACAGAGAAATATGAACATTTGTCAGTCACATTCATGTAAACACAGAGATGAAGACTGACCGGTTATAGTAGCAGTGCCCCCACAAAGCACTGTGTTCTCTAGCAGCTGGCGGTGATTTTCAGATGACACAGACGAAATACTATGAACAAGCTGCTCGACTATTCCATGAGTATCGTTATCCAATATAGATGGTTGAAACAATGCCTCTCCAACTGTGTATCTTTCTTTTCCAATTGTGATTACCTAAAATACAAAAAATGAAATGAGATCCATTCGAACATCAACAGTTCTACAAGCAAGATAAGGATGACAGAACAAGAATAAACGAAGGCTGGCGGGAGAAAACTTTATCAAAACCAGTAAACTGTAATACACCATGATCCAAAAATACAACTCCCTTACTCCTATTAATTTCTAGCTAATGTTTAGTGGAGTGCAAAATCTCACACACGCCCTTTAGTTCCTTTTCCTAAGATATTTGCTTAGTTCTCCAGTATTCACGGATCATCATTCACATTGAAGGTAAGACCCCATTTCTGAATGTCCTTTAGAGAAATTGAATAAAGGATTTCTTTCAGCAGTTTGAGAACAAACGGTTCTATTTACCTCAAGAAACCACAAGAAGTCGTAGAAATTAGAGATGTTTAATACAATGAATTGTAAAACAATCAACTTTGTACTATGGTGACTTATAAGCTGAAAAGTAGGGCTTGGAAACCTGTCCATCTGGCAGAGTATGTTTCTCTTCCAAGCATGATTGTTGAAGCTTCTCATACGCAATATCATCATCAGCACAGCATGCATAGCGCTCTTTCAATTTTTCAACATCAGAAATATTGAGTTTCACTGTTGGATTTGATTTACTAAGCTCATCCGCTAGTAGCTTTGTCAAATCCAAACCCCCGATTTCCAACCTTCTTGATGCTATGTGCTGAACAGCACCCTCGATGACAGGTGCAATATCTAAAAGGTCATAAACAAGACAGCAGGAAGAACTGTGAGAAATCAACACTGAAGGGAGAAAAAACAAAAAAAAGCAAAGCCAAATTGCCAAAAATAAAATACAAACAGTTCAACTTCTAGAAGTAAAGAAGCGCATATAAAGAAGTTGAATATTTGTTATAGGCAGAATAAGGAAAATTCATATTTCTGATAGCAAACAGAGCAAAATCAATTCTCATAGTTCCTTTATCTGAGGCAAGAAAAGAAAACATCTTTATTCTGCTCATTCCACTAAATAGAGGCTACGAGTTTCTTTTCTTTCTATCCATTTATTTGGATGAGGTAACATAAATCTTATAAAACGTAAGCACCAAACGGGTGCCAAGCCTGTATGAACTGGTGGTAGCGATGAGTGATAAAATTATTCCTCCTACTGCTCATATTTTCTCAAAAAACAAAATTGAGTTACTATGAGCTCTCATATTCCGATACTCTAAAACTCAAATGATGGAGTCTCTAAATGTACGGAAGAACAATGCAGCATTTATATGCAAAAGAGTGACATTACAACATTTCAAGCTAATATCCTCCTCATCGAAGCCCAAATCCAAATTTTCAAAATGCAAGAAGATGAATAAAGTATTCAAGGTCACTGAGAATTAACGTGCTCTAGAGAGGTGTGCTGTTCACCAGGTGTCAAGTGTTGCACACACTCTTCTCTTGAATATATATCTAGAATATATTTTTGGGGCGGTAGTGGTGAACTTGGCCAAAGAAGGTGAAACAGTGGAAACACGAAGTGAACATGTGCAGCAGAACAGGGACAAAGGAGGTATCGCCTATTTTGTCCGGAAGACGAACTTGTTAGATGCAATTCCCTTTGTACATCCATTGCTCTCTTTCTTTACACTCTTCTTGCGGTTATGCTTCTCATTAATGGAGATTGCAACTACCCTTGTGCTCCCTAATACCACTAAGCACGGGTTCTTTGTGAAATTACCTCAATCGAGGAAAGGCAGTACCTTGAAACCTTTCATGACCTATGCTTTTCTTTTTCTGGAGCTCATATTTAAGGTTAGTGACTTAGTGTATTCACTTTTTTTTGTGGATGCATGTGTTCTATTGTATATGGTGCTGTCCCTAAGTGATGTGGCTGAAGCAAGGTTTAAGGGGCTATAGGCCTATTAGTACAATTTTCTTCATAAAGCAGAATAAACTGTAATTGCTTCAGCTCAAAAAGGCTCAACTCAAAATAGACAAAGAAAATGCAGAATATTGAGGGGAACATCAACCGTAGCCACCGCAGGCTGGATTATTACCCTGACCATTTGCTTGAAACTAATAAAACCAACTGTATTACAGTACTAAGTTTTTCCAACCAATAGTGCAATCATAACCGCATTCTCAAGCCTTTTATGTCTCTTTTCACTTATACATTTCAACTTGAAGGAAATAGCAACAAACGTAAGCAGACAATATTGCTACATAATGACTATGTAAATAGGCCCGGCCCAATCAGATAATGGGAAACTAAACAAGAGCAAAAGCAAAGAATTTTTAAATAAACGGATATTGAAGGATGAAAAGTTTAAGGTAATGTAGATTACCAATTTTCCCATGACCAACATCAACGGTGCAGCCAGATATGCGTCCAACAGCATAAAGCGACAATACTGCCTGCTCAGAGGCATAAAACCCCGAGATGTTAAACGTTTCAAACATCAATTGCACCAATTGTTCCCGAACAGCCTGTTAACACAAAGCCAGAGATACATATTAATTACACTCTCGTACAAGTTACTATGCACAGTAAAGACATCAATGTGATGTCGCAGTTGAAAACAATAAGCCAAATCTAGCATTCAGCTCTAATAACTTACTGGATTCTCCATATTCCAAGAATTTTCTTCAACATTACAAACCAAACAAATTATTAACCCCTCTTTAAAGCTTCATGACTAGATATACTGAATTACAGAAAACCATGTCACCTAGAACATCTTCTCTTAGATACTATTCCCTTTCTGTTTTGAAAAAAATCAGGGGTCCGGACCAACTTCCGTGCACCTTGAATAGCCCGTCCCGTCCACAAGCACATGTTGTGAAGGTAATCATGCCCACCAAGACTGACATAATGGGCTTACACCAAACGTTGTAATTAGGAGTTTAGCATTTCAAGCTACCCAGAATGCAATTCTTTAAATCATTTTCTAATCATGCCTTTCTAGCAGAGTTGTATACTCAAAGTTCACTAATTTCTATAAAAAATTTGGTAATGCCCCCCCCCCTCCAAAAAAACAAAAAAAAAAAAGAAATTACAGAAACTCTGAGAAAGTCAATTAAAAAATAAATCTCACCTTGGGAGTGCAAAGTGGGTCAGTGAACAAAATTTGGCCTTCATTTCCGATTTCCCAACCAAGACCAGTATAAAGAACATGGTGCAACAGGTCTTCCATAGCATCCCAATCTTTAATAAAACCTCTCTCAATGGGATCCACAGTGATATCATCCTCCTCCTCAACCAAGGAACCTTCATCATCTTCAGGAATGCGTTTCATTTGGGTCGGTATTACCTAAATCATACATTCCCAAAGTAGTTCAAAAAAAACAAGCAATAATTACAGTATTACTACTATTTATAATTATGGTGTTCATGCAGCTTGCACCAAGAAAATCGGGATAAAATAAGCAATAACTACAGTATTACTATCTCAATACCAAAGAATTCACACAAATTGGGATTAAATAGGAAGTAAATAGCAAAAAGTTCCATTTTTGAAGTTCTTTTTTTATGGGGGTTTCTTGTACTTTGGCAGGGTTAGTACCATATACTACCAAAGGAAGAAAAAAAAAAAGCAATAACTAAAATTATACCATCTTAAAACCCAAAATTCATCCAAATTGGAAGTAAAATAGCAAGTAAATAGCAGAAAGTTCCGATCTTGAAGCTCTATTCTTATGGGGTTTTCTTAAAGTTTAGTACCATATATTACCAAAGCAAGGAAAGAGTAACAAATAGTATACTGTATTACCATCGTAAATCCCAAAAGCACACAAAATGGGGCAAAATAGCAAGTAAATAGCAGAAAGTTCCAAAACTTGAAGCTCTTTTCTTCTGTTTTCATTTTTAAATACTTTTGAAGAATTAGTACCATATATTACCAAAAAAAGAAAAAGAAAGCAATACCTACATTATACTATCCTAAAACCCAAAAAATTCATACAAATTGAGTAAATAGCAGAAAATTCCAATCTTGAAGCTCTATCCTTATGGGTTTTTCTCATAGTTTAGTACCATAGATTCCAGAGTAGTAATAGAGTAATACCATTGTAAAACTCAAAATTTTCACACAAATTGGGGTAAAATAGCAAGAAAACAGTATAAAGTTCCAAACTTAAGCTATATTTTTGTGGGGTTTTTTTTTTTTAAGTATGGAAAAGAGGAGAGTACCATAGAAGGAGATTGATCGGGAACAGCAAAACCAGCTTTGAGTAATTTAGAACCAGCGTCCACTACTACTGCCTCCATTCTTCAAAATTATTCCCACCTCTCAGTAGTCAACACTCAAAACTGGTGGAAAGAGGTATTTGGTGAAGTGTGTGTGAGAGAGAGAGAGGGAGAGAGAGCAGAGAATCTTGGCGGAAATTGAAAATGGTGGCTATTCCCACCTCTTTTCTTTTCTTACCCTTTTCATCTTCTTTACTCCTTAAACTTGTTCTTTCTCTTTTCTTTCTTCTTTTTGTTCTTTAAATTTAAATAGGAGACTTTGGCAAGTTAAAAAAAAACAAGTATAGTTGATGTCATGTGATATTTTACGAGTTCACGTAGAAATAATATCTTGTAAAAATATACAATAAACCGTCATGGTACATGGGTTAGGTTAAAAAAATCTTCTAAAGTTTTAATTTTGAGGCACTTTTGATCTTCTTGGCAAGAATATGTTTTAAAAATATTGTTTTTTATTAAAAGGGGAAAAAGACTTTCACGAAATATGAATATTTGGAATAAAAAATATTTTCGAGGAACAAGGATGCTATATTAATCTTGCATAAGTTATGATTGGTATTAATCATGTAGAGTTGAACATCGAAAATCAAATAATGCATTAGTTTTGCAGATTAAAAAAATAATTAGTCATGCATATTTTTATGTTATACATGGAAAAAGTGGACATTTAATTACGGAAATATTATATAAAACCAAAACATATATGTTGTACTATTTGTTATCTTCTCATTACGCAGCCAACCAAAAGCACCTATAATTAGTTTTTTACACCACACAGCAGCCCGACAAGGTCCACAATGTTATAAAATAAAAACTATAGAGTAAAGATAAGTATAGAGAGAAATTAATATATTATTCAAATTTTTAACTTATGTACATGATAAACTTAAAACTCCTCTATTTATAGAAGAAAGGAAGCTGTTGTGTAAGCTGCTGCGTAAGCTGCTACTACAAGTTGTTGTATAAGCTGCTACTGCAAGCTGCTGTGTAAGCTGCTACTGTACCATATATAGATAATCTTCTATCGGGGGTTATGTTTATCCATAATGGAGTACCAAAATGATAAGCTTCTTCAGGAGGCTTATTTCCAATAGAGTACTAAATAGATAAACATATTTACGGCGGAGTCTCATATGGATAAACTTCTTCAGGAAGCTTATTTACAACAGAGTAAATGATCATCCATAATATAATATATTTATAACACTCCCCCTTGGATGTTCATTAAAAGATAATATGCCACATTAAAACCTTACTAGAAAAAACTCCGTGGGAAAAATTCCTAGTGAAGAAAAAAGAGTACACATATTTAGTAATACGCATTGCTAGTTGCCCCACTAAAAACCTTATAAGGAAAATTCTGTGGGAAAAAACTTAGTAAGGAAAAAATTATATCGCGTATTTTACTCTCCCTAATTGTGGGAAATTTGTTTCATCAAACCGACAATCTGCAAATCGAGCAGTAAATAAATTTTCCGTCAATGGTTCAAGATAGCGAATAATAGAGCATGATTCAAACCCGACATATATTCCTAACCTTCTCTGTGGGCCCATCTTAATGCGTTGTGGTGGTGCTACTGGCACATAGCCACATATACAGCACATCCAAAAATTCGTAGATGGGCAATATCTGGTTCATGACCAAAAACTAATTGTGACGGAGAATATTTATTATAATATGTCGGTCTGAGACGGATAAGTGATGTTGCATGCAAGATAGCGTGGCCCCAAACAGTAGTGGGCATTTTTGTTTTTATAAGTAGTGATCTTGTTATCAATTACAAGCGTTTAATAAATGACTCTGCAAGGCCATTTTGAGTATGAACATAAGTTACAGGATGTTCAACTTTTATCCCAATTAATAGATAGTAATCATCAAAAGCTTGAGATGAGAATTCTCCAGCATTATCAAGGCGAATAGCCTTTATAAGATAATCTGGGAATTGTGTCCTTAATCGAATTGTTTGGGATAATAGCTTTGCAAACGCCAGGTTGCGAAATGATAGTAGGCACACATGAGACCATCTTGAAGATACATCTATTAGTACCATAAAATATCTAAACAATCCACTTGGTGGGTGAATAAGTCCACATATATCCCCATGTATACGTTCTAAAAAGGCAGGGGATTCAATGCCAACCTTCATTGGTGATGGTCTAGTGATTATTTTGCCTTGATAACAAACATCACAAAAAAATTCATTATTTGTAAGAATCTTCAGGTTCTTTAATGGATACCCACTCGAATTTTTAGTAATTCGTCTCGTCATTATTGATCCATGATGGCCCAAACGGCCATTCCAAAACACAAAAATATTTGAATCAGTAAACTTCTGATTTACGATAGAGTGTGCTTCAACTGTACTAATCTTTGAATAGTATAAGCCAGAAGATAAAGTTGGTAACTTTTCTACAATGCACTTCTGGCCAGAAGCATTCTTTGTAATACAAAGATATTCCATATCCATTTCATCAGTCGTCTCAACATGATACCCATTTCGGCGGATATCTATAAAACTCAACAAGTTTCTTCGGGACTTGGAGGAGAATAATGCATTTTCTATTATAAGTTTTGTTCCCTTAGATATAAATATAATGGCTCTTCCAGAGCATTCAATCAAACTTATATTACCAAAAATTGTTGAAACATTTGCTTTTTCCTTATGCAAATAAGAAAAGTATTTCTGATCCTTGAATATGGCATGAGTTGTTTCACTATCAATTACACAAATATCTTCATGATTGGTCTTTGATCCAAACATAATTTGAGGATTATCCATATTCTTCAAAATAAAATAAATAAAATATGTTATAGTAAACATCATTATCAAAGTATAATTTTTATTTATGTACAACAATTACATAACCATACTATCTATGACAAACAACCAAAATTAAAATATTTACATTTCTACATATTCACCACCGATCATATGACTTGTTTCTCCTTCTGGGAGTGCAAAGTAATCAGCTACATCCAAATGCATGAAGTCTAGATTATCTTCAGAAATAAAATTTGCTTCAACATTTTTCTCTGCCTTCTTCAGGGAGGCTTGATAAAGCTCAATCAGGTGCTTTGACATACGACAGGTACGTGACCAGTGTCCTTTTCCTGCACATCTATAGCATGCATTTTCTGACTTTGCTGCTTGTACCGCTTCATGCTTTTGTTCCTTTCTTTTCTACTGCTGGTGATGAGGAGGGTTCTTTGGTGCATTATTATTACCATGATTAGAGTTTCTTCCCCGATCACGGCCATGATCACGACTGGGGCCACGTCCTCTTCCACGCTTAGCTTGGTGGAAGTTCGTCTCATTCACTTCAGGGAATGGACAAGAACCAGTAGGTCGGCTTTCATGATTTTTCATTAATAGCCCATTATGTTGCTCGTCTACAAGAAGATGTGAGATAAGTTCAGAATATTTTTTGAATCTCATCTCTCGATATTGCTGATGCATGAGCATATTCGAGGCATGAAAAGTGGTGAAAGTTTTCTCCAACATATCATGATCAGTAATATTATCACCACATAATTTCAATTGGGAAATAATTATGAACATAGCAGAATTATACTCACTGATATATTTAAAATCTTATAGCCTTAAATGAGTCCAATCATAATGTGTCTGTGGAAGAACGACCATCTTCAGGTGGTCATATCTATCTTTTAAATTATTTCACAGTATGACTAGATCTTTAACAGTAAGATATTCCATTTTCAGGCCCTCATCAAGGTGATGTCGTAGGAATATCATTGCTTTGGCACGGTCTTGGTTTGATGCTTGATTTTTGTCCTTGATGGTGTATGCCACACCCATCGCATCAAGATGAATTTCAGCATCAAGCACCCAAGAAATGTAGCTTTTGCCAGATATATCCAAGGCTACAAATTCAATTTTAGAAAGAATTGACATTATTTAGAAAAAAAAAAGTCCGTACCTTTGATACTTTCAAAGTATTTGCTCGAGATGGCATAGTCTCGTGTTGATAACGTGTTATAAAATAAAAACTATAAAGTAAAGACAAGTATAGAGAGAAACTGATATATTATTCAAACTTCAAACTTATGTACATAATAAACTGAAAATTCTTCTATTTATAGAATAAAGGAAGCTGATGCGTAAGCTACTACTGCAAGTTGCTGTGTAAGCTGCTTGTAAGTTGCTGTGTAAGCTGCTACTGCAAGCTGCTTGTAAGTTGCTACTGTACCAGATATAGATAATCTTCTATCAGGGGTTATGTTTATCTATAACGGAGTACCAAAATGATAAGTTTCTCCAAGAGGCTTATTTCCAATAGAGTACTAAATAGATAAACATATTTACGGCGGAGTCTCATATGGATAAATTTCTTCATGAAGCTTATTTACAACGGAGTAAATAAACATCTATAATATAATATATTTATAACACACAACAAAAAATACTCCTAGTTTTTATTTTTTACAAATTTTAGCCGGTATGCTAATTAATGCAATAATTATTTTATAATCAGTGTACATATATTATATAATAATGTTACACTTATTATATAATAATTATATATTGAATATCTATGACGGACAACTAAAAACTGTTACGACTAGGGAGATTTTTTTATTTTTTTTTTGTTGTCAATTGGCTAAAAATCTTAAGATCCCTTTTATCTTTTATCTCGATAGAATTTTCGTGATAGAGATGGCCTAAGATGCATATGGAATTTGAAATTTTGTTATGGGCTTTCAGTTACTTCACTTGTGAGATTACACTAGGTTTATTTTTGTTGTTTGTTGTTATTATGAGCCCACAATTGAAAATTTCAAGAGGCCCAATAGAAAAATAACCGGGGGATTTGCAGTCGTACCCTATTGTATACGGTCAAAATCGTACTTGCCCGATTTTGTATGGTTAATCGAGATCGGGGTGGCAGACCGAGGTTCAATTCCAAGTTATATTGGATCGTTACATGAATAAATATTGCCTAGCTCGTGATTGAGGGATCGATTGAGATCGAGACCAGCTAAGGTCGAGACCGAGAAGGATAGGGATCAAGTGAGATCAAAGGAAGTCTGCTAGGTCGAATAAAAGAAAGCTGATAAATCTGTGACCGGGCGAGAATTGTGGCGGAGATCTTGGCATATATCAAGTCAAGACCGGTTGATTAGCCAATCAGAAGATTTCCTTCTGTATTTAGAATTGCACCATATGTAGAACTCATCTACTATATAAAAG